TCTGTTTTCTGAAAGAATTGATGTTTGTAGAAAAGGGTGTAGTTTTGCCAGAATCCCCAAGGAGTTTTTTTTGGGGGGGGGGGGGAACAAGGTCTTGCTATGCAGCTGAGGCTGGCTTTGAACTCACTGCAGAATCCAGGCTGGCCTCAAATTCACAATAATTTGCCTGCTTTAGCCTCCCATGGTCTGGGATTACAGTCAAGCACCACCATACCCAGCTAGGAATTTATATCATGATTCTCCTGTTAGGATTGGCTAGAGGCTCTCCACAGCATCTCTGAATGCCAAGGGCCAATCAAGCACATTTGCATGGGAGTTTCACGAGTCACAGGTGTTTCCCTTCTGCATGGCAGCCTGGAGCCACTACAGAGCTCCAGAGTCTTATTTTTTTCTCTGAACCAGTGAGTTGCAGTTGTGTACCTAAGTGGGTTGTGTTGCTTCCCAGCTTCAGACAGGATCACCAGCCACTGTGCACATCTCTCAGGGATGACATTTGTAAGCAAGATGTCCTATCTTAGTGGGAGCTTTCTGACATCCACTGGGCTTCTGGACACTTTACCTCACTGGCAGCCCTTGGATTTTTGTGGAATACGTCTCTTGTCCTCTAGAACGCAGATATCTTATGAAGGCAGGTGATTATTTTTTTCCTGATTCTTGATCCAGTCAGCATCTATCTTAGTGCACTGGGCCAGCATTTTATTTGTGGGATGTTTAGAGGCTCAAGGTCTCCGTCAATTACACAGAGACAGAGAGCTGGAGAGGGCACCCAGTCTGAAGGAAGACACTGGATTTGAACTGCCACCCTTACCCGTAAAAGCAACTTCCTGGTCACTCTTCCCAGTAGGTGCTCAGTAAGTACCCAGTGGGTTAAGTGGTTCTATATCACATCTGGGATGCTGACTAGAAGTGGACTAGTGACCTGGTTAAATTGGTGATCTGCAGCGATTTTCCAAGATCTGGGAACTTTCTGCACGGGCTAAAGTAGCAAGTCAAGTGGGAATGTGACAGGGGTCACCCTCCCTATATTCTTTATGTCTTTGGTGATGGCATCAAACTCTGAGATTTCCCTAGGATACAGTGATGCTGGCTACTTTTTGGGGTATATATAGAGAAAATTATCAGCTCCTAGGTTGATTCTGTCTTTTCTGTAACCTCATTTTTCTTGTTTGCTGTGAGCACAAATTATGCTTTAGTACTTTTGAAATTACCTCCTGCAGATAAAATTCAAGGAAGTAAACTTTTAAGCCTGGAAATGTGCTGTTCTACATTTATGCTCAGTGATATTATGGCCAAGATGAGGAGTTTCAATTCAGAATACATTTCCATGAGCCCTACAAATATATTTCCATTGTTTAATAGTTTTCCATCTCCCTGGGGTATTGTGAGCAACCTGTTTCCCTTTTGTGGAAAATTTTAGAATTTTGTCTTTGTATTTAGCATTCTGCAATTTACAGTGGCCTAGAACAAGGGCTCCCTCCAAGCTATAGTTCAGGGATCGCTTCTTTATTATTGATAACTCCATGAGCTGGCTACAGAACTCTATTTTATTGTGGTTTCACTCGCCAAACTTTCTGTTATACAGAGTCAAAGGCAGTCTGAAAACAGCAAATGGAAACTCCAGACACAAAAACTCATGGTTTGCCGGGGATATAGCTCAGCAGCACAGCACCTGCCTGGCAAGCTCAGGGTCCTGAGTTTGATTTCCGGTAAAGCCCCCTCCCCCTATTCATGGTTAAATATCTTTTACTAGTTTGTTATTAAAGTGTTCCCTTTTAGTAGGGCATCCCCGCCATGGGCAAGGGGGACACAGGCTTGTCCACACCCCACCCAGATCCGTGCTCCACCCTCATCCTTTGCAATGCCCGAGGGCCCCTGGCTGGTGAGCTGGGCTTGGGGGAAGGGGGGAGCCCACAGGAGACCGGCAGTGGAGGGAAGCAGATGGATGTCTGCTCTACCTGCCCCGTGTCTGTGACCTCGGCTGGTGACAGTGACAGGTGCACACAGCAGCTGTCCTGGCATGCTACCTCCGCAGCCCTGCACAAGTCACTTTTCCATTACATTTTCTTCATTGGACTCTTCAGGCTGAATTCCGTTAGCTGCCTAGACTCTGACCAGTGTACTGCCTTGTGTTGTTCGGTTCTCCCTTCCTGGAGACCATTCATTGGCTGCTGGATCACTTGTGTATTTGTCTGTCTCCTCTTTGGCTCTGAGGTTTTCCATCCTGTGGTGCTGCTCTAGATTGGGAATATTTCTCTCAGCCCTTTCAATGGAATGTTTCTAAATTTCAGCAATCTTATGTTTATTTTTCAAGATTCTTTTTTGCTTTCTTTTCTTTTTTGAGACAGAGTCTCACTATGCAGTTCAGACTGGCCCTGAGCTCACTTTGTAGCCCAGGCTGGTCTTGAACTGGTAACAATCCTCCTGCCTCAGCCTCCCCAGTGCTGGGATTACAGACTGCACCACCTTCTTGCTTTCTTGGTCTCTTTTGATTCATGGTGGTCCGTGTTGTTGTGTAGGTGTAGAAAATGTAGTCTAGGAATTACCTGGAATATTTTGATCTCCTAATTTTTTTTTTTCGAGGTTGGTGAGTTCACTTCTCCACCCTGACCTGTTGCCTTTGTGCTGTTACCTTTCTACGCGTGGAGGGGACTCTGTTTCTCTGGTCACGGAGTGTGAGCAGCTGGCTGCCTCTCTGGACAGCCGCTGTGGCTTTTTTTCTGTGCTACATCTCTCAGGGCAAAGCAGCTGCTTTGTGCGCGGGAGGTCTGCCTACCTGCCTTCGTCAGCAGCTTTGCTTAGGATGAGCAGGGGTGCGTGTGTGGGGGAGGGAAGGGACATTCCCCAAAAGTGCGGGGTCTCCAAGAACAAGTAGGAGTTTTCCATGTGGAAAAAGAACTCCATGAGAAACATTTACGTGTCCGGGCACGTGTGACTTGAGATCTCCTAAATGCAAAGAGCTTCAGTGGAGATGAGGCTGGGTGGCAGCCCCGGAAGGCTTAGGGAAAAGCAGGGTCAGTCTGAGGTTAGAAGCCCATCGTGGCTGAGCTATAGGGCCTCTTAAGGCTGCACTGGGCCAACTCAGGCTGGAAGCTATGAAGGAGACCGAGCGGGCATCGCTGGCTGGCTGCGCAGAGCCGGGTGCCTGGGAGCCAGGCGCAGCTCTGTGGGGTGTGTGTAGACTACCTCTCCCGCCACAGTGCCCAGAGGTGGACCCCACTGTCGCTCCCCTGTGTGGTAGGATCTGAGGCCTCCAGGCATGGCCATGGCCACTCCCAGCGCTGGCTCTCAGCGTGACAGGGACTGTGGGGGGCCGACTGCAAACCCCAGCTTAGTCTTAGCCAGGGTTCTCAATGCCCACCCTGACCTTGGCCTCCTCTTCACATCAGGGAGCGGCCTGACCTTGCGTGGACAGAGAGGTTACAGAGGGGTCGAGTGTGCACACACCTGAGGGCGGGGTGACCCCTGTGACATTCCTGCGTGGGCGGGGAACCAGGTCTGTCACCAAGCTATTAAGGAGGGCAGATCTTCAGGTCAGCAAGTCACCTTCACGGCAGGAGGGACATCCTGGCCACCCCCTGCCCCACAGACCGTGGAATGCCGGGGTCCTGGACCTGCCCCCAGAGCCTTGGGCGGGGCTGTCCGGGTTTCTCCCGGCGAGCTCTGCCCTCTCGGGTGCTTTCCTGCCTGCTGTGCTGGGTGCCAAGCCTGACGCCACTAGAGGGTGCTGTTTCCTTCGCCTGCAGAGTCAGGGGTCCTGCAGCGGTGGGGAGGGTGTCCCGGCAAGCACCAGGTCCCTCTGGGAAGGAGCTTTGACATTGGGCTCACACCCAGCCCTGGCATCTGCAAATTGGGCAGTCAGACAATCACTCCACTTCTCTAGGGCTCTGTTTTCTCAGCTGCGAAATGGGCTGATGACACCTTTGCCAGGTAGGCACAAGACAGATGCTTGTGCCTGGCATGGAAGCCCTCGCTGGACTGGTGCCCTCTCGGCTCCTTCACTGCTCTTGAACACCTGGGGCTGGGACAAAGACCTGGGAGCCCTGGACACTGCTCTAAGTACCTCTGTGTGGCAGACCTCATAGGCTGCCCGCAGCCCAGGCCCTCACAGCTGTCCCCAGAGGAGGTGACAGCAGCTGAGGTCTTGTCTTCGGAGAGGGTGTCAGCTGGGTTCTCTGCCCCAATCTGGCAGTGTCTTAGTTAAGTGACTTCAGAGAAGTCGCTCTGTCATGGGCCCACTGCCTCACTAGTAAAAACAGGAGGGAAAATGCGTCCGTCCTGGCAGGTGGGATGCAGTGAAGTCTGCAGAGTGCGCGCTGAGCACGCTGGGTTGGTTTGGAAAGGGGTCCCCTCCATGCCCGAGATGAGGGGCATTTTTGTGGAAGCCACGGAGTGTATGGGACATGCGTGTCTGTATTTGGGAGACACCAGAAACAGATGCCTGACACTCAGGTAGTCCCCTGGGCACCCCGGGGGGTTATCAGGTGGCTTCGGGGAGGAAGCTGCTGCTGGCACCTTGGAAACAGGAACAGTGCGTAAGGGACACCGCTCTGTTTCACCAAGTCCTGGGTCACCTGGCTTCAAAGGAGAAACTCACAGATCCTCACTGAATGCTCCCCACCACCGCCTTGGAGGCCTTTGGAGGACTCGGGAGGCCCCTGGCTGCTAGGTCTGCACCCTGGATGCCACCTCCTTCGCTGGCTCGCTGGAGACCGCCCTTCTTCCTCCAGCCCTGGCTTTTGCCTTCATGGCGCCCCCTGCCTCCCCCTCCGCAGCGAACCTGTGTCCTGGCTGCAGCGGGCTCTCCGCAAGTCTCCTCTGGGCTGGGAGCCCCAGGGCGACACAGGCAGGGACGCTGCGTGTTGGGCTCAGAGTGCCCAGCAGGACACGCGTCGGTGGCTAATACTCCGGGGAGAGTTCAGAGAGGGCACAGCCGCTGGCACCCGTGACGGACGAGGAATCCGGGGCCCGGGAGGGTGGAGGGTGAGCGCCGGGGAGCGCGGGTTCCTGGCGGGTGCAGCTCCGAGGCTCAGTGCTCACACCCCGCACCCGCCAGCAGTGACGGCCGCGCCCAGAGCGCAGACCCAGGGCGCAGCCACAACCCGGGGAAGCGGAGCGCGCGGCCGCCTGCCCGGCTTGGACGCAGGGCGCTGGGCGGGGGCTGTCTGGAGCCCGCAGCTGGCCGGGAGCATCCTGCCTTCCCGTGGACCCTGGGAGAGGTGCGTGGCCAGATACCGCGCGCGCGGCTACTGCCTTCCACGGAGGTAAGGGGCGCCCGGAGCCTCGGGGTATGGGCGGTGTGACAGCGCGGTTTGCGGAGCCCCGGGGAACAAGGCAGCTCCCCGACCCGGACTCCTACCTCACCAGCGCCTAACAGTTCAGGGCTCTTTAGTTTACTCCTCTGGCTAGAAGCGGGCTGCTTTGCATCCCCTGAGAAGGTGTGCTGACCTTGCATGGTAATCTGAACCCCAGGAACCCACCCCCATGTTCCCAAGGACCCCAGGACCCCTGGTTCTCACTGGTCTGTGAGAAGGCAGCTCAGCAGCCCAGGAGAGGGGCTTGACCGGCCAAGGTGGAGGCTGCAGGAGGAAGGACAGGTAGGGTCCTTTGGGGGGACAGGTACTGTGCCATCCCCTTCCTTCATGCCTGGTGGGGGGCTGTGCTCCTCTGATGTGCTACTGAGGAGGGGGGCTCTGAGGTCCCACACTGCTGGGGGACCCCTTGCCCACGTCAGCTTGGGAAGGACCGGGGCGGTGGCCCTTAGATAGGACGGGCGGAGGAAAAGCCACCTAATATTTGATAAATGTCGATCCTGCACCTGTTCATGACAGGCTGGCAACGTCGCCTCCCAGGAGGTGGCAAAGAAAGCTGCCAAACAGCTCCTGGCTTCTGCTGTGCCCTTTCCTATAGAAGCAAGACAGTGCTGACCCGCTAACCCGGAAGGGTGCGGGGCAGGGGTGCTCACCCCTCAGCCTCACACTGGCTGTGGTTCCTCTTGCATCCCCTAGCCTAGGTGGGAGCCAGGCCACCTTGCAAGCTGGTGTTACTCACCTTTGGCTCCCCGTCCCTAGAGGGATGACAGAGCTGGGGTTGGGGTCCAGGAAAGCCGTGTGGCCTGCTGGCCAGTGTAGGACTCTGGAGTCCTACTCTGCTGTTTTTCTCCACTGCTTTTTGATGTCAGAGCCCCTCCGGTGACTGAGAGCCAGGCCCATTTTTCACCCATTTGTGGGTGAGACATGCGCCGGCTGCCAGGTGCCCTGCTCCATGCAGCCATTCTTAACCCTCAGCCACTGGAGGGACTGCGGAAGACGGGCTGCGTGGTGACAGCTGCTCCCTGCCACCTTCCTCATCCGACACTGGCCAGAGGCACGGCTCAGAGACCTGAATGACTGCTGCATTGCTCGGGGGCTCCCCGCTAGAAGTCCGCAGCCCCTGTGCCCCCAAGGCTCTGGGGCATGAACTTGGCTCTGCACTAGACTGGCTCCTCCCAGCCTCTGCGGCTCTGGGGAGGGCGGCAGGGGCCAGCAGGCAGCTCTGCCTCTCTCCTGGCCCAGTGGTCCATCTGCTTCCACTTTGCTGCTGTCCCAGACCTGGTGCTTCCTTTGAATGATGTCCAGAAGCTGCTGGAGGGGCCAGTGTGTGGTCAGTGGTGTCCCTGTGGTGTCCCACACACCTGTCCCCATCCATCAGTCTCTGAGATGGGGTCATGGGCCAGGCAGACCTGGCGCAGCCTTCTCCTCTGTTCCCACCCTGTCTCCGCCTCATCCCTCTGTGCACCCTCCACGATGCACCTAAGGGCTTGTTTTAGAACGGACTGGGCTTACAGACAGCGTTCAGTGGCTCCCGGGGTCCCCGCCTGGGGAGCCTCACACCCATGCTCCTGCTCCCCAGGAGGCCCAGCTCTTTCCTGCCCCTGTGCCTGCGCATGAACATGTGATGTCCCTCACACCATGAACTCCTCTCTGTCCCCTTGGCCAGGTGATCTCATGTCAGCTTTTGAACTCCACACCAGTGCTGCCTCTTCCCTCAAAACCTGCTCTGCTCCCTCTCTGATCTCCCTGCTCACCCTGGCTTGGGCCGTGGCATCATGGCCTGGAGGACCCGCCACGTGGCTGGTGGTCAGTATCTCCGGATGGGAGGCCCAGGGCTGTAAAAGTCACCTCTGTAGCCCTTGCCTGTGGTCGAGAGTATGGCACCTACTTGTGCGGACGGATGGACGGAGCAGTGAGTGTCCACTGCTGTCCACTGCCCCCTTGACTAGGATCCGGTTGCTGATGTGGAATAGCTGGCTGGGGGTCAGCCATGGCCAGGGATCAGCCAGTGCTGTTCCCCCGCATCTGGGGCCCGTGTGCCTGTCATAGAGGCAGTCCCGCTTGCTGTTTGTGTCCACCCTGGACCTTGGGTCCCGCTTGGTGTGTTTCATCTCATCACGAGTGGCCCCAAATGGCCGTTTTTTTTGTTTTGCCAGAAGATTGTGATGCTGGCAAAACCTTCCTGACTTTGAGATCTGGCAGCCTAAATAACCAGACTCTAAACTTTTAGTCAGGCGAGTTCAAGACCCCACCCTGTGTGTCAGATGTCTGGTGAGGGACATTCGTGACCACTCAGACGTGGATTTACTGACCTCTGGTTCAGGGGGCCTTTTTCTGTAAATTCTGTCTTCGGCGTAGCGCTTGATTTTGCAGAGGAGCTGCTGTGCCTCTCCTGTGGGAGTCAAGTGCTGTCTTGGGCGGGGTGCTCTCCCTGCAGAGGGCTCTCAGAATAGGGGCCAACAACCGAGTGCAGGCGAACCCCACAGGCCCCCTGCTGAAATACAGATTCCAAGGCCACTTCCTGGACTCCCTTGGCTTCTGGGGCCCTGGAATCTGCACTTCCCGGTGCTCCTGGCAGGATTCTGGTGTTGAATGCAGGTGGAGAGCTGGACGGGAGGGCCAGCGTGGTGCATTTCATCAAGTGTTCCTTGTCCTTATTCAGCCCATGCCCTCTGGAGTTCCGGTCCTATTCAGCCTTGACAGAGGGTCCTCCTGCTGAGGGCCCCCAGGGAGGGAGACCTGGACAGTCCAGTATGGGCTTGCATCAGGTGACCTGAGCTGGGGTGGCTCCACAGAGGGCAGTGGTGTCCCCATCTGTGGCCAGCCATGTGTGTGCACATGGGCAGCCGGGAGGAGCTGGCTTGGCCATCTGCAGATCTTTCTATACCTGTGGTCCCTGCCTTTGGGGGGTGCCCCGCGTGTCCGGCCCCAAAGCTTGGGTTCCATGGGTTTCTGCACGACTTGAACAGTCACTGCAGAATAGTTTCTTGCTGTCTCCATTTGGGTGACAGAGGGCTCTCTACCCAGCACGGAAACATCCTGCCTCTGAATTCTGCCTACAATGCTCGGACTTTATCTTCAGAATGGAGGTCAGGGGAATTTGCAGAACAAGATTTGGCCCCAGGCAGACCTTAGTTTGTACCTGGGTCCCATTACTTATTGGCGGTGTGACAGCGGGCGAGTCGCTTCTTACTCTGAGTCTCAATTCCTCGTCGAGGAAGTAGGCTGTTGACACCCACTCTCAGGGTGCAGCAGCTACAATCTGTGAAGCGCTGAGCACAGCCCAGTGTGTGCCAAGGGCTCCCCATAGGTGGTGACTCCAGTTGGACTCCAGTTTCTGACCCTGAGACTTAGGTGCCAGCTCCTCTCTCCCCCAGGCAATGGCCTTGGGAAAGAAATAGTCAAGACCTTGTCCCTGGCCCCTGGTCCTTTCCAAGTCCATCCTGGACACCCGATGATCCTGAGTCTCACTGGTCTGTTTGTGTTGCAGGTGTCACTGCTGACATGGACCGTTAGCTCGAGATCTTCTAGACGCTTCTCACTGCCACCATGGACACCTCTCCCTTCCTGGCCTCCCTGCTCCCCACATACCCCCAGGAGGAAAACAGCAGCAAGCCCCAGAGGCTCCTGTTCAACTTCTCTGACCACTGCCAGGATTCAGGGGACCTGATGGGCTTCATCGTCACCTCCTACGGCATCGAGACCATTGTGGGGGTCCTGGGGAACCTCTGCCTGATCTGCATGACCCTGAGGCAGAAGGAGAAGGCCAACGTGACCAGCCTGCTCATTGCCAACCTGGCCTTCTCCGACTTCCTCATGTGTCTCATTTGCCAGCCGCTCACTGTCATCTACACCATCATGGACTATTGGATCTTCGGCGAGGTGCTTTGCAAGATGTCAGCCTTCATCCAGTGCATGTCCGTGACAGTCTCTATCCTCTCGCTCGTCCTCGTGGCCCTGGAGAGGCACCAGCTTATTATTAACCCGACGGGCTGGAAGCCCAGCGTCCCCCAGGCCTACCTGGGCATCGTGGTCATCTGGCTCATCGCCTGCGTCCTCTCCTTGCCCTTCCTGGCCAACAGCATCCTGGAGAACGTCTTCCACAAGAATCACTCCAAGGCCCTGGCCTTTCTGGAGGACAAGGTGGCCTGCAAGGAGTCCTGGCCCCTGGGCCACCACCGCGTCGTCTACACCACCTTCCTACTGCTCTTCCAGTATTGCATCCCGCTGGCCTTCATCCTCGTCTGCTACCTGCGCATCTCCTGGCGCCTGCGCAGACAGGGGCGCGTGCTCTGCAAGAGCTCGAGAGCTGGGCAGATGAAGAGGATCAATGGGGTGCTCGTGGCCATGGTGGGCGCCTTCGCGGTGCTCTGGCTGCCCCTGCACGTGTTCAACAGCCTGGAGGACTGGCACCACGAGGCCATCCCGGTCTGCCACGGCAACCTCATCTTCCTGGTGTGCCACTTGCTCGCCATGGCCTCGACCTGTGTCAATCCCTTCATCTACGGCTTTCTCAACACCAACTTCAAGAAGGAGGTCAAGGCCCTGGTGCTGACCTGCCAGCAGAGCCTGCCGCCGGAGGAGTCCGAGCACCTGCCCCTGTCCACGCTGCACACTGAAGTCTCCAAAGGGTTTCTGCCACTAGGTGGCAGGTCCAACCCCATTTAGCCAGCTCCAAGATTTACCCCTGCATGTCACTTGCCAGGACTTCTCCCCTAACCCAGTGGGCATACTGCAAACTGTGGGCAGTGCTCCTGATTTGTTGGCTTTTGGGGTCCAGAAAGAGCTTGTTTTTTGCATGCTCTGTATGTGAAGCCTGAGATCAGATAGATCAGCTCCTTAGTCCCTGGAGAATTCTGAGTCCAGATTCTGCAGGTCATGGTGAACCTGACAGCTGGAGCTGCAGATTGGCAGGGCTGGAAATGTCTGCCTGCCACAGGAAGGGTTCATGCTGGGAGTTCAGTGGCAGATGGCTGGCCTGGACAATCAGGGACCTGGCCTGGGCAACCAGGGACCTGGTCTCCATCAGTGAGACCTTGAGGTCACTGTAGATGAGGGGCACTTGGAGCCAGATCTCTGGCTGCACTTCCTAAGCAGTGGGAATCCGTGTGACCAGGGTAGTGAGCTTCCAGTGGAGAGGGCGGATCTGTAGTCTCTTGGGTCCTCAGGCCCTGCCGCAGGAGTCCGAGCTCACATCACACCCTGTGTCTTCTGCCTTGTATGGAAACCAGCTTGACATGTCTCTCCTCGATGAGATGGCATATACCCTGAGAGTGACATCTGTGCTGTCACAGGGCTCTTTCCCTTCATGCCCAGCCCTGGCTCCAGCACCAGGAGAGAATGCATGAAAAGCTTCTCATGGATTGAAAGTCAAGGTGTCACCCACTGCTGTGTTGGTGTCCATAGTCCCTCACTAGTCCTGGTCCTCCAAAGTGTCTCTGTATGTGGGTCCATGCCTTCCTTGCAGAGAAGACAGTGTCAGCTTGCTCCCGTGGGATGTCCCGCCTGGCTCTCCCGGCTGAGCCCACCCTCCCACGGAGCAGACTCTGACTGGGTGCACTGTGGTCATTGGGGTGGGATGTTCAGGTGCTGGGCCCTCAGGAGCCTCCTGTGAGGCTGTCCGTGCTGGGCTTATTCAGAAGTCAGGTAAAGGGTCATCTATCCACTGTCTAAGCTCCCCAAAGAATTGGGCTTTGGGCCCCTTGAGATCCATTGTAAGTGCCTGGAACTTGTTCCTCATTATTAGTCTGAGTGGCACCAAGCTGCCTGAGGACAAGGAGCCTTAGGGTGCCAGCGGGCTTCAGGGCGAGAGGTCCTGACTGGGTGCCTTGAGGGTCCCTGGCATGAGGACTTGGGGCAGTGGGTAGAGGTCCCACTGAGCACCCACCATGCTCTCTCCCCTTGCTTAGGTTGACACAGTCCGCCTAGATGGCCGTGTCTGCTCCCGGTTCCCATCGACCCCTGTGGTTGCTTGGTTACCAGCATCCCAGAGTATGGGCAGAATACCAGTAGCGCTAGCATCAGCCAGGGCCTGTTAGATGCGCAGATTCCTCGACGTTCCAGACCTACTGAATCCAGACTGGAAATTTAGGAAGCTCCCAGGCTAACGGCACCTGTGTTAAAGCCCGGAGCGCTGTTCTAGGAAGCGTTGCCTGGAGCCTTGGGGCATTGCCCTGGGATTAGTAGAGAACTGTCACATCCTCAGTCCGGCACATGTCTTTACACTTGTCCTTGCTGAGAAGGGATGCCCAGCCGTGGTTGTTTGCCTCATCTCTGGCTGCCTGTGGACGCCCTTCTCGAGAAGCATTCCTTCAGTAGATATTTGCCAAGTGCAGAGTTCACAAAGTTCCGCCCTAGGGAACGTGTCCTTGGGCGTTCGGCTGTGTCCCACTTAAAATCCAGTTTCTCATCTTGCTGGGTGTAATTTTGATAGTTGCTTAAGATTTTAAGAACCGCTCCGGAGGAAGTTGGCATTTCTCAGTTGGGTCCATCTCTTGCCCAGAAAAGCATCCCTTTGCCAGCTGCCGCAGGAGGCTGTGGTTGGAGCTCACACCCCCACACACCGCCCAAGAGCCCTCGGATTGCAAAACCTTATGGAATCCTGCTGGGGAGGGCTTCTACCCTGCCTGACTCCAGCCCTTCTGTTTTACAGAAAAGATGCTGACTTGTTTTTTTCCATCATAAAATTAAATCATATTAGTCCTTAAACATGGAATACATACACAAATAAAGTGAAAATAGAAAGGAAATCATTTTCCTGTCCTATCTTGGAATCCACCAATCGGAGTTAACCACCGTTTATATTTTGGACATTATTTTTTGTTTAGTTTGTGTAAGAGTAATCACCTATGCACATAGCCTTTTGAGGTGAGTTCGTACTGTGTGTGTATTGGTCCTTATCCATTTGGAGATTACATCTTTGTTTTACTTTGTAAGAATTTCATTCATTTTATTAAACAAATACATAGCATTGTTGACTTATTAATATTCAGTAGGCACTGTCCCTATTTTATGAGGGATTGGCTGGATCCATCTCGTACCCTTCTTCACTGTGTCTGTCCCACGGTGAGGGGTTTCTAGTGCTATCGCCTCTAATGTTGCATTTGGAGCAGATTCCGTAGGAGTGATTTCCATCTAATGAGCTGAATGACAGATTCTTTTTGAGGCTCTTGATTTTCAGAGGGACTAGCACAACTTGCATTCCCTAAACCATGTGTTTCCTTTCACGATGGCCATTGAGGACTCACAATTAACAAACATACCTCGGTCTGATCCCTCCAGTCCAGCGGATGCCTCCTCTCCTGCTGCTGGGCCCACCATGCACTGTGGGTGGGCGCTGATCTCCCCAAGGCCAGCCCTTGTCCTCTATGGAAAAGTGAGGGGCCCCCCATTGCCTTTAAGGTTGCAGGGCTGTGTAATTCAGCTTCTGGAAGAGGACTCTATTAATTATTACCCTGCACCAGTGGGCAAAACCACCTCAGTAAACTGGAATGGGAAGTCCTTCTCGTGTAGATAAGTCCGGGCCTCCAGCGTAACTTGGGTTCAGGCTCTTTGGTATCTGGCCCTGGCTGACCTTTCCAGCCCTTTGCATCCTGCTCATATCGCCTGTGGGCCCAGCACAATGGGCCTGCCGTTCCCCAGCGCGCCTGGGCTCTGCTCTGTGCATTGGCTCCTGCCCTTTCCTCCTACAGGTCCTCCCACCCCTTCCTCTGCCAGTTTGTAGTACCCTCCTGGCCCATCGGAGAGGGCCTCAGTCCTCCCCTTCCATCAAACACGGGGCCTGTGGCATTTGGTCCTATGGACAGTTAGGACGCCCTGTGATGGGACAGGCACCTGACGGACAAAACCAGAAGCGTCCTACTTCCCGTGCAGCTTGATTTATGCATGCATTCCGATGACGGGCTGTTGTAGTCCGGGGTTGTACACAGAACAACTAGGATCAGGATGTGGAGTTTATAGTATTTTTATAATGGTCACCGGGAGTTAACACAGGAAAATGCAGGAAATCTATCCGCAACACCAAAGACATAGACATTTAGTCAAGAGTCTCAACCCCACGTCAATGTACCACATGAGTCTAGATAAAAACCCAGAGCTCAGGACAATGCCTCCCATGAGTCCAACTGGAGGTCCAGAGCCCACAAGAAGGACTCACGCCAGTCTCTTTTATGAATCTGTGCGGGGAAGACCCAAAGGTCAGCGGTGGAAGCCAGAAAGTCTATGCCAGCAGGATGAAGGAGCTGTGCTGGTGGGATGAGTGTTCTACGCTGGAGCCGAGAAGTCACACTCACAACAAAGACCAGGGCTATCCTGAACATACCACAGCCATCCTCAGTGACACGGAGGCCCCGAGCTCCTCCGACAACAAGCACAGTCGGGTACGTGCCAGGAAGCAGCGTGACGAGTTCATCCTGGAGACCAAGCAGCACATGTCTTCCCCTCCGGAGCCAGGAAGCAATGCTCGATGTGAGGACCAGAGCTTCTCCAGGAGAACCAGCAGCTCAGACAGCAACTCGTGGGAGAACCCACAATGCCTCCTTAATGCCTCAACCCTCCACACCTCCCTTCTTCTCCACCTATTTATCCTGGCAACCCTCCTCAGATGGAGCATCTTTTCTCAATGCATGCTGATGTAATCCAGCTGGCGTTAAGTTGCCCACCAGTTCTCAATCCATAACACGGGTCCTTCAGTTTTGTGCTGGGTCCACGCTGACATGAGGATGATAGATGCACCTGCTGCCCCATAAGGCCGGGAACTCCTCCTGTGCAGTGGTGGCCTGGAAGCTTCTTGTGTTTGAATGTCACCGCTTGCTTGAAACTCCCTCCCTCTGACTCTGAAAACAGTTTATCAGCGCCATTGGGTGCTGGCCCAAAGCTGTCTTAAAACACACATCATTCATGCAGCTGTGAATGAATGGGCTTCAGTTTCCCATTCTTCTGGCTGCCAAGGAAGCCAGACTGGAGAGGGCAGGGGTTCAGAGCAAAGCCCAGCAGCTGGCCAGCGCAGACCCCAAGACAGGCAACCTCCCTGGTCAGCAGTGTGCTTTGTGATGGCCAGCGGCCCAGGCCACCTGGTAACTGTCATCCGTTCCCCTTCTGAGTTACACGTGGATGCTGGGTCTACCCAGCCTTTCCAAAGAGAAGGGTTCAGAGGAGTATCTGGGCCTGAAGGACGGACCCACCTTTTCAACACACGTACAGGCAGCGGTGGGGGACTTGCGTCTGGACCGGCTAGTGGTGACACGTCTTTCCTCCAGGTTCCCGGGCGCTGTCAAAGCATGATGCCATTGGAAGTGAGGCTTGGCCACATCCCGACAGAGCAAACACTGAGGCTCCCTGTTGCTCTAGGGAGCTATCCAGAGGCGGTGTCTATTACACTTTTGTCCATTGGTGACTTTAAGGAAGATGTGACATGGAGGAGGGCAGGACATGTCTAAATCAAGGGATGAGTTCCCTGGACGTGGAGTTAGACTCTTATTAAATTTTGTTTATTTGAAAGAGAATAAAGCCAAACATAATAGAACAGAGCTAATCAAAACAAAATGGTGAATATGACCGAGGACTTCAAAACAAGATAATAGGAAATCAACAGTGGCTACCAGAATGCCTCTTGTTATCTTCAAAATAGGTGACCATCCCTTCAGACACGATAAAATCACACAAAATGAAACAGTGAAAGCGTACCGGGCTTCAAAGCAAGATAACAATGACTACCACCTTCCCATTTTAGGCATTTCCTCCCCTTCCACTTTCACAGTATCTGTTGTACATTTTGGATCCCACTAAGCCCTTCAGCTTTTTATGCTAGGGAGACAACACTCATGTGAGTCTGAGCCGTTTCACCTGTGAGCATGATCTCAGGTTGCATCCATTTACCCAGAGCCTCATGATTCTCCTTCTTTACAGCTGAGTAGCTTCCCATTGTATACAATGGAATGGACAATGATGGACAAGCGACCCCTGCTGCTGGTTCCCTGTTGCATGCAGAATTGTTTTCTCTCCTTTGACTTTGAGGCTATGAATTTCCTTTTGAGTTAGTGTTTCTTGTATACAGCATATTGATGGGTCTTGTTTCTTGATCCACCCTGCCTGTGCTGCTTTTTACTGGTTAATTGAGGGCATCTACAGTAATAGTCAGGGCCAACTTGTATTGGCTCATCTCTGCCTTGCTATTTTTCTGCTGGTGGCTCCCTATTTTTACCCTCCATTCATTTGCCTGCCCAGCTCTGTGGTCCCCGTCTGCCACTGTTCTTGGAACCGGGTTCATTTTTCTCTCTCTCTAAAATGTCCTTCAGTATTTTTTGTAGGGCTGGTTTTGTGGTCATGAATTCTTTGTCATGGAAGTGTCTTGTTTCTCTATTAATTTTGAAAGATAGTCTTCCAGACTACATCAATCTGGGTTGGAAGATGTTTTCTTTCAGGTCTTGAAATACTTCACTCCAAGTGCTTCTTGACTTGATGGTTTGTGTTGAGAAGTCTGTCATGATTCTGATGGTTTTTTTTTTATATAAGTGATCTGCTTCTTCTCTCCAGCTACTTTTAATATTCTGCTCTTGTGCTGAATTTCTGGGACCTTGGTTATTATATGTCTGGGTGTAGATTTATTTTGGTTATGGCTATTTGGAGTCTATATGCCTCACTTACCTGAATGTCAGGTCCTGTTTCCACGCTTGGGAAATTTTCTGCGATTACTTCTGCAAATAGTCTTTTTATGTCATTTGTGTCGACCTCTGCTTTTTTGCTGACACCTATCAGTCTTAAATTATTTTTCTTTATGTCATCTTGCAGCTGTTGAATTGTTATTTCCTAGTTCCTTGTTATTTTTAAGAATTCTTTCCTTTCACAATTGCTAGCTGCGATCCTGTCTTCAAGGTCTGAAAGTCTGTCTTCAGTCTCTTTTAAGTAGTCTCTCCAGCTTTCAATGGAGTTTTAATTTCCTGGATATCTCTTTGAATGTGTTTCATTCAATTCTTTCCTATATTGCTCATTGAAGGTTTCCATCATATTCTATGCTCTTTTAAAAAAATCTTTTTCTTCTTTGGGTATGCTCAGATGTTTGCCAGATGGTTTCTTCTTTTACCTGAGGTATTATTTCCGATCTTAGGTCTTTTATAGCCTCACGAGAGCCTTGACGTAGACACAGTATACTGTGTGTGACTGGCTAACTGTAAGAAGCAGAGAGAATGCTAAGTTATCAGGGAGGAGCCTCCTGTGAGAGGCAGCTCCTAGCGAGGAGTCTCAGTCCCTTTCTTGTCACCGTGATAAATGCCCGGCACCCACAAAGGAGGCGAGGTTTACTTTTGGCTCCCGCTTTAGAAAGTTCTTGCGTGGTCACCTTGCTGTAAAGGACCTGCAGAGAAAGGCTGCTTTATGTAAGGCATTCAGGAAACAGAGAGAGAAGGCAGGAACTGGGGAGGGCGGAGGTCCACCTTCAGGACACAGCCCCAGGGTGTCACCTCGTCAGACCCCACCTCTGGACAGCAAGTCAGCCTCTAACCCAATCACCTTCCCGAAGCTCTGCCTGGAGCATCTGAGGCTCTGGGGGAACATCTAGATATAAACCACAGCACTGTAGCTGGGGAACATTAACACTGGGAAGCGTAGAGGAGGGGCCCCACCACGCTGGTTCCTCCCAGGGGTGCACCTTAAGGCTGGCTCTGGAGGCCAGGAAAGCTGCAAACTAGAGCCCATAGAACTGGTGGAAGGAGGCTGGCCAGGGGTGCTCTCGGGAGGACACAGGTGTGTGTGTGGGGGGGGTCCCCCTAACCAGCCTTCCGGCTCCTCCCAGCTTCCAGGGACTGGACGACACAGGAAGCTAAGGTTCCACCCTTTGTCCCAAAGTGGAACCTAACAAGGTGTGCTCGGAGTGGCAGGACAGTAGCTACTGTCTGGCTGAGTGCAACTAAAGAAGTCCTTATTTGGGGCTGGGGATTTAGCTCAGCGGCATAAGTGCCTGCCTTGCAAGCAGGC